AATTGAATTTAATTGCAATTAATTGCAATTATTTCGTCATTAATTGGGTTTCAATTAATTTCATAATAATTTTAATTAATTTTAATTGTATGACGTATGATAAAAATTAATTGAAATTGATTTTTCGGTAGGCCTGTTTAGTAGTATATAATTTTTATAATCTTTTATAGGCTTATATAAATATAATATTAGAATAAACAATTTTTTTTCTTTTATTTTTAATACTCTATTACTCCTTCTTTTCTTGTTTGTATATTTTATCATTATTCCTTATACCTCTGTGTATTTTTTCTTTTATCTATATTTTTTTTTGATTTAACTTTTTGACAAAATAATAAAACTACTTTAGCTAATAATTAGAAAGCTCAAATCCTTAAATAATTGAGGATTCAATATAAAGCAAATTGTTGCTAAATAATATTACATCTGAACTATAAAGTTGAGTGAGTTTTTTTAAATAGAAATATAGTATAAGTTTTGTACTAGTTAATAATAATTTTCTGATATTTCTAATAAAATAAAAAAAACAAAACCATCAAATTAAAAAAAAATAAACTAATAAAATAATAAACTGTTCTATAACAATAGATTTAGATAACTTCTATAACTTTTAATATAAACTCTGTCTAAATTTTTAGTCTTAATATTTCTAAAATATAAAATTCAAATAATATAATTTCCTGCTTTGTAAAGAAGTTTAATTGAATTTTAATAAAGATAAAGATATAACCTTACCTTTGAAGATTAAAAAAAATTTTTTGATATATAAAAATTTATAAATCTTTGTCTTGTAACTTAGATTATAAAAATTTAATGAAAAATATATTTGAATATATATGTTGTAAATAGAAATAGAATCATAATAGGTATGGCATCTAGTGTAGAACTTAGTAATAAGTGGACTACTTAAATAGGCAATCAAAAGTTGTACGTATGGCTAGTTTGTACTCTTCAAAATATGTATACTGTACGGGTGTCGTAAGGGGCTTAGCGTACGGTAAAACTTGACTAATAACTGAATAAAGAGAATCGACCAAGAGGTCATCTTAAAACCAAAAAAAAAAAAAAAATAGAATCATAATAGAGTTAGGAATCCATTTAGAATAATTATCCTTTAAACCATCAGATTTAATGTTCAAATTTGTATACTAAAATTTTTAAACAAAAATTAAACTCTAAAAAAAAATTTTTTAATAAAATTTTTTATTTAATAAGTTATAGTAATTTCCAAGGATTCAAGTTACATGGTGCACTCTATAGTTACGATATAGACCACTTTATATGGCCTAAACAGAAGTACAAATTTACACAATAGCTAAAAAGTACACCATTTTACCTATACTTTTGAGCCATATTAACTCTTTAATATTACTTCACAAAATTGATTATATAAAGTTGATTATAAAAAATCCTTATCAACTTTAATATTATATTATAAAAGATACCTGTGTGTGATGATTGTGAAGAATTTTTATAAGTGTCATGTGCAGGTTCTTTTTTTAGTACAGTCTGCCCTCCATACAGTCACTCTCTATATAGTCACATCTCTTTATAAACACACTAATTTTTAGAACAAACATATATAAAACATAAGAGATTTGACCTCTATACAGGCACAATTTCTTATAAGCACAGAATTTCTTGAAACCTAGGGCGTGACTGTAGAGAGGTTAGACTGTATTAAATTTGGGCATCAAAGTCCTATTACGACCAACATTAAAAAACTAATTTTTAGACTATCATTGAAAAAATTTCGTGAAATAGGAATTATGTAATAACCAACTTGTGGCACACTTTTAATTTAGCTTAGAAAATAGGGGGGAAGGCTTAACAAAATTTAGAGTAATCGGGCAAAAATAGGTCAAAAAACATTTTAGCGTCCAAATTTGCACGCTAGACGGTTTAAGGGATACGAAAAATCCCAACCCTAATCTTAAAAATTCCGAATCAACTTAAATTCTGTTTTCACTTACGACATATATAATAGTATGCTTTTTTTTTATAAGCTAAAAAATAATAAGTTATTACATTTACATAAACAATAAAAATACTGCGACAAGAGGCTAATTTCGATAAAAATTTAAACATTTTTTTTCTGGCTATGACAAAAGCCCTCTATTACATTAAAATATACTATTCACTAAATTCTTATGTGAAATTGCTAACCAAATTAATATATAAAATTAAATAAAATGTTTAGATAATGTTACAAGCAGCCACGGCTAAAGCAGCTTAGCCGGCTAAGCCAGCCGATAAAAATGTATTGGCTAATGCAGCTTAAGATCATATGACTTTAATAGTATAATTTAGGCTGAAGCGATAATGGCAAGTAGAATTAAGTACGTAATAGGAATCGAAAAATTCGGAAAAGACAATAATCAAACATAAAATACGAGAAAAAAATTATCCAAAGGTAAAAAATTTGGTCTTAATCATTAGTCAGCCGTTTAGCTGATTTTTTATTGACTGGCTAAGTCAACCGATAAAAAAACCTTATACGTAGATTGTACGTACGTACGTACGTAACACTATATCGCGAAGATTAATATGGCAATTTTCTAAAGAAAATTATCAACTTCAAATTGTATTTTCTTGACATTCTACATATTAATCTAGTCAGAAATTTCCAATGAGAGTTCAGCGGATAGTATATTTTAATGTGATAGAAAGCTTTTTTTTCATAACTCGAAAAATAATAATATGAAGGGATAACTGTAACGGTAATACAGTAATAGATAATTAAAATCACATGAACACCGGGTTTTAGACGATCCCCATATTTAGTAAAATTCCTGATCGATATCACAATAAAAAAATATCGGATAGATAGACAATCATTAAAAATGAATCAAAAGTTACGAATTTTTTCGCGGTTTAACTTTCTAAAATTTACGACAGTATCTTCACCATATCATGGCATCATACAATCAATTCAATTCAAACCGATAAACATAAATCTTCCATATTCATCTCATTTGAATATTCATCGTTTATTCTCAACTCCAGTTACTACACCATTAACAGTTACCTCGGAAAAAAACCCAAACCAAACGACAAAAATCAAAATTCGACCACTTCCTGAGATATCATCAAAGACACCACGTTATATCGCTTATGGCATAATCGGAATTTCAATCTGGGCTACTGCTATCGCATTATCATTTAATCACCAACGTGTAAATAGTAGTTCAGTTAAGGAAAGTCTATTTAATGTAAAACATCATCCAAAAGCCATTCAACATTTGGGAAGAAATATTAACTTTACAGCACCTCAATGGTGGCCTTTTCCTTCACAACGGAAATTTCCATGGATTTCAGGGAATATTAATCAATTGAAAGGAGTTGTAGATTTTAAATATTGGGTAGAAGGAAGTGATGGTAAGAGAAATTCTTTTTATTGTCAAAATACATTGATTATGAAAATAACACATCCATCCGAAAAAAAAAATAGGAAAAGGCATTGTGAAATTTCATTCTGTTCGATCGTTAAAGGATGGAGGGAAATGGAATATTGTGGAATTCACTTTGACGACAAAAGATGGCAAAGTTATATCATTGATTGAATAAAAATATTAATTGTTATAGTTTGATTTACATATTAATTTTTATTAACGTTGACTATTAAGACATTATTTTACAAGAGTTGATTGAATGTGTAAAATGAAATATATATGGTGAAATGCAGAAATATTCATTCGATCGTTCAAACACAGTATTAAGTTTACATAATTGGTATTTTTTCACCGTTTTCAGACGCCCAAATACATAAATCGATATGATCATTAATTGTTGAGTTATCGATCGTGCTATCTCCACAGATCGGGCACTGAACAGTATTTAATCTATGAAAAGTTGAAGAGGATTCATTTACAGATTTTCCTTTTTCATTGGAGCCATCCTCAAGGTCAATTGGTTGATTATGATTCTGTGAACTCTTGTGTCCACTATCAACATCGGTGCAACGTTTTTTGAACTTATAATTTTGGGGCATCTCTTCAGAACTTTTACAGAACCATTTATCCAAAGAAGTGTTACTACCACTAGCATTATCATTTTCGAGTTTACGTTTTCGATTTTTCGTTACTTGTTTCTTTTCCACTTTTTGAGGTTCAGAAATTTTATGATATTTGCCACCACATGATTGTCTATGATTTTCCCACCAACTATCAGCAGGTTGTGGAGGTCTATGATGCGAATATAATACGAGATAAAA